CCCCCCCCCCCCCCCCCCCCCCGCCCGGCCGCTGCCCGCGGGCCGGGCCGCCTGCTGCCAACGGTGAAGCTACGAGATTGAGAGATGGGCTTTCCCTCTTCATTTTCGGGGAAAAGGCGATTTCTTTACCGGTACTAACGCGCCTTCCAGTGACGAGTCACCTCCGCCAGTCACAGCACCACCCGCTACCGCCGCGGGTCCGATTCCAGCCTTTATTGAGCCAGCGTCGGGCAGGCGTACGGGCAGATTACAGATCCCTTATCTGCTTGGATGCCGGTTCCCCCCGTTTAGCAATGTCACAAACAGTTTTAAAGTAACCATACCTGAGCGGGATTACAGAAGTACAGCGAACAGCATTTTCCGTCAAGTTAGACTCGACAGAAGAATTTTAAAAAGTTACAAAGACCAAACAGTTCAAGGATCTCGAGATACTCCGTTACTAAAACAAGTACAGGGTAAAAAAGACGATTAGAAAAATTGCTACCCAGTAAATAGTAAAACCGCCTGTTCGGTCCGGTGAGCATCCGTACACCCCAGCAGGCCGAACAGCGAAGTCCCACCTGCGCCACTAACGCGTCGGCTGAAGGAGAAAAGCACTTCGCAACTTCCGTAAATTAATTGATTTGAATCGGTCGATGACATTTCACCGCACATCAGGACACGGATTTTAGCAGCTTCCTTTTCCGTAGCTGATCTTGTTCAGCGCCTCTGCATCGCCGTCCGGACGCGCGCGCACAGGGGTGAGGCCTTCGGGCAGCTGGATGGGCCTTCAACAACTGGTGAATAATTTCAAAGTTATTCTTTGCACTCGCTACTTCTGTACTCTTCTCAAGGCACAATTAACACAAGGAGATGCAGAAGCCGTATTTAGAGAGCTTAAAACTTACAATTACGATCTGTAATTCATTCAACATTGATATCAACAAAGCTTAAAACCGATTAAAACGCAACTCTGAAAACCGCAAGCCACGTTTTAACCTCATTGGGAAAGAAAGCAGCTCTCCTGCTGACCTCACCTTTGGATCGCGGTGTATACGTGCGTGCTTTCACTTTAGAAACAGCTCCGTCAGAGGCAGCGCCGAAGAGGTCTCACTCTCACTGTAACCGATTTATGTTAAACACGTCAAATGCAGCTGAGGCTACAGAAGACATTACCATAATCGGGTTTTGTACCTAGTTGCACCCGAATTTCGGTTACGCGTTTGTGCCCATCTCCGTTACTCATCCCGCACAGCGCCTTGCCCACGTTCGCATGAAGACGCGCCGAAAGGTAAACGTCCAAACGACATTTGATTCTTTTTATGTCTCTGAAGGAGATAAACCCAGGGACCTCGAGCAATCGGCTCCCCAAACCCCACTGACGCACAAAGCGGTCTCCGCCGGTTGTGTCATTCCGCGCTCCTGCCCCGACAGAGCCGGGCGTCGAAATGCGAAGGCCCGGCGAGTCACGCGCCTGCTTGTGCCGCAGGCTCACGCCGAAGGCGACTCGAACGAGCGGACTGAGTAAGAACGGCAGGGAACGAACGGCAGCTACTTCAGCAACAGACAACCAGGACGCGGTAACGGCACCACCGCCACCGGTTCTAAAACGCGTTCACCTTTAGCTCCTACCGGCGCGGAGACTTAAGCAGAGGTTTGAGGAAGAGGCGTGTACGTGAGGCACCAGCGGGATCTGGCCGGCCCTGGGAAGAGAGCACGTGCTAAAGGCTGATCAGTTTTATCAGTTTATTTCTTGTGAGGTCCGGAGGCTTGAACTCCACGGTTCAATTTGTTTGATCTTTAAAAAGGTCACACCGATAAAACACGAACATTTTCAGTCGCATTCGGCCACGCCGCTGCGCGGTGGCTTCCTTGCATCAGGACTACAGAAAACAACGAACAGAACCGACGTGAACTTTGCAAACCACGTAAAACCCGTCCTTGGCTGGACGCCTGTCAGCCGCCCCATAAAGTGCAAGTCAATCGCTCGTTTTGATTGAATCGGCAAGTTCTGCCTTTATCCAGGATCAAGCTCAAAGAGTAAATGAATACTTTGTTTAAGAATTCATACGTATGTGCACACGTATGTGCGTGTGTAAGTAAAAATCAAAACCACGGCCAAAACAAGATGTTATAAACTCTTTTACTTGTATTCTTTCAGACAGCATTTAGTCAAGATTGTAACAACTTATTCTTAAATAAAGGTGGGAGATCAGACAGGAAATAAAGATAACGCCGCTGCTTTTTCAAATGTCACATTTAATGTTTTCACCACCGTACTTCAAATCTACATTTTACAAAGTGACCAGCAAGTGTGCCACATTAACTGACCAACCTCTGAGATTTTACCTTTCATACCAGTGTCTTCTTGGGCTCTTTCAGTTCAACACGTTTCTCATTCAAGTGAATTGAAATGCTTCAGTTGGTTTTATTCTCAGGAGCCTCATCAAAAACAAAGATATTGCACCATCTTTGTTCAGTTATTCAATGTTTGTCTCTTTCACAGCAAATAATTACTTCATTGAAGTTAAAACTTCCAAACATAACTTACTAATAGTCTCCAATTTCAGCTCAGATCACTCTTGTTGAAAATACTCTGCTAAATACAGATAACTTACAATAACTTTAACAGTTAATTGTCCATAACAAACACCACGGTTTTTCTCCAGACCAAGGCTCAAATTTTAAGACCACCCTTTAGTATTTCTTTGTACAGGTGAAAAACAGTCTTCAATTTTCTAGTCTTGTTTTAAATATAAAAGTTGGAAGGGACATTCAAGTTTCAAGTCTCCACACTGAACTTAAAAAAAAAAAAAAAAATCATGTGGAGGTAAACAAACCAAGTTGTATACTCCAGGAGGTAGAGGCCTTCAATTTGTGTTCATATATACATATGCACAGAATTCAGTGTTCCAACAGAAAAAGAATTAGCCAAAAAGTAATAAAAGTTATTTACTACTGTGACATTTCAA